TAAAGCCACTCCTCCTCCCATCTTTAATACTCTATCCCTATTAAATAGCCTATAATCCTGTATTTAAAAAAATTAATTCTGTCATCAAAATCATCTATGCTTAACCATGTTTCAGTTATTACCATTATATCAAAATCCTCCATTCCAGTGCTCTAGTCATCTATTTTATTTCTTATACTTCTAGTATTACAATAGTAACAATTAAGCCTACCCTTATACCTACTTATCTACTCATTTCTTATGCTAAACTTTTTCTTTTTGCATTTAGTTTATTCTGCTCTCACCACTGTCTAGTTCTAGTTCAAAACTTTCCTTACAGCCAAGTTAATAGTCGTAACAAACAAGCCAGCCGCTATCTTATTTTAATGTAAACCAACCATTCCATAAAGCTCCTTTCTTAAGTTCTTCCATTGAACTGATCCAACAAGTCCAAACAGCCAATCTGCTTATCCTTACATACTAACCTAAGCCTAGCATTTAGCTCTAGTAACTTCATTCTCACAGTTAATTCTGAGCAGTATCCCTGATAAAATTTAGTTATGGCCGTTTTCTTTAAATGCCTTTATCAACCCCTTATACTTATTAATTAGCTCTAACTTTTCCCTTCATCATTAGCCCTACATGAACCACAACTGCATCTCTGCTTGACCCCTTTATTATATCTCCTGCTCTGTCAGTTATATCCTCCACCTGTGCCCCTGAGTAGTATAATCTGATTCTTTACCCCACAGATTATCCTATCCACATGACTTGTCAATGAATCAACTATAACTACCTTAATTTTATCATTCACATCCTTCTGTCCCTTTTGTTTTCCTTCCCTTCAATAGTTCCTCGTCTGCATAAGCCAAGGGATGAAAGTTATTCTCAGTAGAATAACATGAGCTTACTAGTTCTTGTATTGACATTCTGTTGTGTTAACAACCTACACGACGTTACTTGTAATGACTTTGGTAGCAGCTGGTATTTAGCAGGTTCTTATTTCTAAACTCCTAGGTGAATTATGTTACAGTTAAAAGTAATTTATGCTGAGCAGAAAAAAAAGATCCACTTAGCTAATTCAAAAAGTTGGGTTAATATTTGTCAATAATACTTGATTCTAAGTATCAAAATCAAACATTTCTTACTGTCAGTTTGAAAGTAGTTTGTAAGTGTTTAAAGAAAATGTTGGTTTTTAAACCTGGAACTTTTATTGTAGATATTATTCCTTGATAAGTTGTTCTTTAGGAAAACTAAAATTCTGTTGAATTAAAAGCTTAAAGAAACTGAATGAGAGAGAGAGGATGCAGTTCTCTTTAATAATTAAAATGTTTATTCTATGTGGATGATGTTCAAATTGAGAAAATGTGAGAGGTAATTTTTGAAATGTTATTATTGTAATATCACAAACTATTCAGTGTTGCGGTATATAGAAAATGTATTAAATTTAGTTGGCTGGTATAAAAACAAAATTAATCATTAGAACACTCACATTTACAGCCTTTACAGATTCTGGAATTCCATCTGTGAAACCAAACAAAAAATAAATACACAAAACCTATTAACACAGCTTCAAGACTATATAGATGTGGAAGTCAAGTTTATAAAGCATTCCTTCATTCACTCAAACAAGTTTCCACAATTTATTGTAGAAAAATTCTCATAACTATTACAACAAAAACTTCAAACTTATCTCGTGAACAAAATTAACACTAATAAACCAAACAAAACAACATTAGAACAAAAAAATATTTATTATTCTTATGTATTTAATTATGAATTGAATAATCCAAAATCTGAACATTACTGCATTTTGAGCTTCCTTTTTATTTTCCTGAGATTTCGCGAGATACAGTCATCAGCTAAAACATGAGCACATACTTAAAGTTACTAAAACTTTTGTATTAAGTTTCATGCCTCTGTAGGTTAATGTTTCTCAGATCAGAACAGCAGTTATAAAGCTTAATAAAAACATTGATTTTCTAAGATCCTTTTATGGCTTGAAAATTTTCTATACAGCACACACATTAAATCTGTAACTTCTACTTTAATTTTAACTTTATATATTCATTTTTTAGCTAGCTCTTATATCTATATTGTATTTTCAGATGGGAAGGAAAACAATCATGGTGAATTGTAACCCAGAGACTGTCAGCACAGACTATGACATGTGTCATCGACTCTATTTTGATGAAATCTCCTTTGAGGTCTGTTTCTTTTTGTTTTTGATGGAATTCTTAAAGCATTATTCAGAACAGACTAAATTCTTGTAGGATTAAAATCATAATAACAATGAAAGATAAATAAAATGCTGTTAGTAACTGGATGTCTTTTACTGTTTTACTTTCGGGTTGCACATGGAAATGGAATTTCACAAGTTTTGTTAGGTTTCATCATGAAACAGGATTCAGTAGTTTTTATTTGGTTTTCCATGGTGTTTAAATTAGTTAAATCACCTGACAGGATCTGTTATTATTTAATGTGTTACTCATGGTGTTCAGTTTATTAAATTGCCAGACAGGATTCATTATTTTTTCATAGTGCTTAGTTTATTTAAGTCGCAAGACAGGATTTGCTGTTACTTAGTTGGTTTTCGTGATGTTCAGTTTATGTAAACTTTAAAACACCAGACAAGAATTAATGTTGTTCAGTTTATTAAAATCACCAATAGGATCTGCTATTGTTTAGTGTGGTTTTCATGGTGTTCAATTTATTTAAACTAGTCATTTGTAGAAGTGCACTTTGAACTTAAGCCTTACATGTTGTTTAGTTATTTCTGGCAAATGATTTTATATTTGTATTTGTGTTTGATATTTATCTTTCTCAAAAGCCTAAATGCTTGCTTCAATTACCATATCAGTGTTTATTATGTGTATGTTGAAAGCCTAAGTACAGTGATAAATATTTTAGGTATTTAAATTTATATTTTAGTTAACAAGCTGAAATCTGTTGTTTACGACCCCTGTATCTATAAAATTCATCAGTGTATATTTATTGTTGAAATTAAAATTACTTTTGTTTAACTTTTTTTCCCTCTGATATTAGAATGTAATGGATATCTACAATTTAGAGCAGCCTGAAGGAATCATCCTGTGTATGGGTGGTCAACTACCAAACAATATTGCCATGGACTTGCACAAACAAAAGGTGACCTATGTGAAATCCTTAATTTAGGAAAATCTTTGAACATAATGTGTACTTTGACAGTCAAAACATTGTGTTGTTTTTAAATATAAATGTATGATATGTTTATGATTTGAAAATTTACTAGGTGGAAGTATGTTCTCTGAAATTAATAAAACTACACAAATAACTTGGCCTGATGACAGGAAACAAATGTTTTTTCATTGTTCTATGCATTTATAATGCTGAAGGATGGTTGATGTTACAATTGGAACTGTTAAAATAATGGGAGTTCTCATTAAATGCTGAATTAATAAGATCTGTGTTGTTTTAGGTCTTATGTTTAATAAGTTATAGACAAAACTTTAATTGAAGAAAAATATAATATTTAAAATAAGATTCTATCCATCATTTTCTATTTGAAAAAAAGTTTTGTGAAAAAGAAAGCAGCTATTAATAAACTAAATATTAAACTCTCTACTAGTCCTATCTAATGTAAAACTGAGATAAATAATTCTTTGAATTTATTATTATAAGTGATTCAGCTTAGCTAGCATTGTTCCTTTGGCTCTAAATCGTAACAAAAGTGAATAGTGAGGTATTATGATTTTTTTTAATTGTGTGATGTAGGGTTGCTTTTAGTTTACACTTGCTGGATTTGATATTACCAAAAAAACAAACAAACAAAAAACTTGAACCAACTCAGAGTGCACCAAAAAATTTTGATTTGCACTAACATCATAACTAAGACAAACTTGCTGTACTTCTAAAAGATAAAATTGATGTTACATCTTTGTACATTTTTTATGATAAAGTTGTTTTTCTAAATGAGGCAACAGGGGGTGGACTAAAACAACAAGTGGTACTAGTACTGCAGTCTACAAATATACATGTACTAAGTAGGGCTATATTAAAATGGAGTGAAAAGAATTTCTTTGTAGGAAGAAAGTTTAAATCATACAAAGAATTGTAGATTTCTTTAGTAAAATAAAATGTTAGAGTCTGGCGAGCAAATTACTATATATATATATTTAAATTTAACCTCATTTACTATGAAATTGAGTATACCTGTATACATGGAGGACAGAAGCTCAGATGGAAATTAATAACAAGTGTACCATAAGAAACGTTGTAAGTATGCTAACAATATCATCATTTTGAACCAATTACATGTACTTCTTGATTGTCTTCCTTGCTCCCATTCTTGGGTGCATAGACACATTCTTGAAAAATTACTGGTAGTATAGTACATGGATCAAACGATAATATCAAATTTATTATTTTTACTTGATCATACTTTCATTCCCAACACCTTATTCCATTTTTATAAAAAGTATCATACTGCTATGGGCCTACATCATGCAAAACTACGTGCATGAACATGATTTTCAACAGTGCATTTATTGTCAGCTAGGATGGGCACTGAACAGTCAGAGGTGTTTCACAGACTTCTCTTAGCTCATCATAAAAAATATTGGCTATCAATTTCATCATTTAGTTACTATATGTTGGTTGTTTTTGTTGAAAAGCTTGTACACAAATGTCAGTTTACTTGTATCAGGTAGTATTTGTACATGTAATATGCAAGCATTATATAGTAAATTTCAAACTCTGATTGTCTTTCCCTGTTTTGGTAGCTTTGTTATTTGCTATAGAAAATCCATGAAAATTATGTATATTAACAGGATTTGAGTTCCTATGGTGTGATGGCACATCTTGTTTATTATGTAACTTTTTTGTTTGTTTTATGACATGCTAGATTACTTTTTTTTTTCTTTAATGGTGAAATTTGATCCTTATTCAACTCTTTTGTATTTTATTTTTGTCTTTAACAGATATGTCTGTGTGTGCTTTACTTCATTATTCTGTTTAAGAATTTAATTCTGATATCATTTTGAATTACATAATTTTTGAAGATAATAATTTCACAGATTTGTGAGAAATTTACCTTTAGCTATTTATGATGTGCACTGTCATCCTCTGTCTTTATAACAGCTTTTTATAATATAGATTTATAAAGACACATTACACACTGATAGAACCTCATGAAAAGCCATAGTTAATTACAGAATTGAGGGGAAAAAAAGACAATTATTCATTTCACAAAATTAAGTGTTTTGCCAGTAAAGGTACAGACTGAACTACCTTGTAAACAGGTATGTATTATATATATATTAGTTAATTATGTATTTAGGATGTTTCTAAGGACAGAGACTTATAGCCATGTGGTTGATACTTTTTTACTTCTTTTATTCCTGTTTCTTGAAAGTGATAAGGGATAGTATGATGAAACTATCTATAGTTTCCTTGTTGAATTAGTTTTAGGTTTTGAAAACTAAGGTAGAAACAGTTACAGAATTTCTTCTTGTTTTTCGTTATCATAAAATGTTTGATCAATTTCAATATATTGCTTTACCTGTCTTACCCTAGTTTTACAAGTGTTATTCTGTGTCAAGTGATTCTTTCTTGAAGAACATGTATGTAAAGTCAATACTTTGGACAATTTTATTGTGAAATACATGTGTAAAAAGTCAAAACCTGGAGTATAATGTTTGGAGATGATTTAAAGAAACTTTTGTAATAGTTTCTTTCGATATGAAATCTTACTACTTCTTACTTCTTTTCTCGACTTTTACAGCCCTTACTATGTGCAAATTTTCACTCACCACTAGCTTTGAAACTCCCACCTATCCTCACGTGAGGCAGCTGCGTGATAGCATGCAAATGAGCATGCGAACCCTCCACCAATAGGAGTGTGACACAACTACTAGTACAGCAGAGCTCAACTTCACTACTTGATTGGCACTTATGATGTTTAGATGCCACATAATTTCAATTAGGTACTTGTTTTTTGGAAAATGTATTTTTTTTTACTCTCCATTTCTCTAACTTTTCACTTGTACACATTAATATTATGTGTCTTTAATATGTTTTTTAGCTCCTTGTGTGGATCTTTTATTTTTCTCAAAACCACTGATAGTTATAATGAATTCAGAGTTTAATGTTTCTACTGCTACTACAACAGTTACCCTTACTTTGTCTACAGTGGCTTTGGGTTCACATTTATTGGTGGAAGACATTACGGCCTTGGTTCACTGGGATTTGGCTACTTTCATGCGGGCTTCACATTTGCCTGAAGATTATCCTGTCATGTCTTTTTTCAGGGATACCTTAACAAGAGGATGATGATTTCAACAGCCTTTTTCCTCCTCCATCCTATGCCACACAGTCACGTGTAGTTCTAATGGATGCATTCAGGCCTCCTCCTCCTTTTGTAGAATTGGTCAACCAGGTTTGTTACATTTTGTCCTTGTCTTCTGTTTCCTTTGATTTCTCTCCTTCTCTTTTAAGTGATACATCTTCGGCCCAATATTTTGTTCTCTCCCACACACTGGATATAGGGGTTCATGCCAATAGGTTTGCAGACTAATTATGTTCTGGGGTCAGTATGCCTCGACTCCCACATAATATGGAGACCCATGCTTTGGATTAACATTGGTTTAAATTTCCTTTTTGGAACTCGTAGTAGTTGTATCTTCTTCTCCCTCTGTGGGGTTTGGTTTCCAATACTTTATTCACATTTTCTCAACCTCATTTCTCCAATATCTGACTTACCTTATCCTCCCTCCTTTCTTCCCTTTCCTCTGATCATCTTTTGTCTGAGGCCCTTCATCATTTCCCTGAGTGGTTTTCAGTGGAGACTTGTGCCCTGATGTTTTCCACTCTGACACAATTGTCCTCTTCCACCCTTTCCCTCCTAACATGGCTTCTCTATTGTTGGGATCTTTTGGGTTGAGATGTCCTTTTGTCCTGTGTCCATTTACCCCCAATCTTATTAAGGGACTTACATAGTACTCCCTTTTTAAGGTGAGATGCCTTTGGGGGGCCTTTCTGACTCATTAGAATCCAGAGTTGAATCAGCCCATTTACACACCTCCTTTTTCTCATTGGCTTCCCTTGTGTCTCAACCTCCTCCTGAGCCTGTTCCCATGTCTCATTCCCCTCCTTCCTCTCTTTTACTTTTTCCTGTTTCACGGGTCTCCAAGGTCAACTATCAGATTTTGCATGGGTGACTTCAGTGACCCCAGTTGTCCCAGTGACTATGTGGAAGGTACAGGTCTGGTGAAGGCCAGGCTTTTACATTTAAGTCTTTCACCCTGGCCCCCTCGGTTCTGTGAGTTCACTCCAAAAGGCTCATTTGTTTTTCTTACCCCCTCCCTTGTCCCCTCTTTCCATCCCCCCAAAGTCCACATTGTCTGGTTCAGTTACTTTAGAACTGAAAAGACGAATTATTCTCCTCTACTCTGCTATTACAATACAATCTATGATATAACACTTTAAAAGTCACTACTATACACCCTTTATGGCTAAGCTTACAGACACAGTCTAGATCTATATCTCTCTCACTTTGTCTTACTTTCACTTACACAAACTTTCTTACTGGACTTAACTTGGTAATCTATATATATATATATATATATATATACTCGCCCAACTGAAGCCTACAGATTTCTACGAGCAATGAGACATTATGATGTAATAATACTCACTTAAAGCAAGGAGAAAAATTCAGAGGGTTTGTTTGAGTAATGTGATGTCAATTCACAACAACTGAACAACACAACAAATGATTTGTAAACAGTTATGTTAGCAAACTTGCCATAACTATTGCTTCTAATAATAACTTACTTTAACACTTGCACTATGTAAACAATCAAAATCATAATGTTCACATTAAACTTAAAAAGGAAATGAAACAATAAGCCCCTCTTTTTTACACGATATACAAAGAGAGTTTTCATTTCATACACAAAGTCTCCTCATTTAGTCTGCACCAACATTTACAGTTCTCTTGTTGGTCTCTCATCACATAGGGCATCTGGTATGGCTTCACCTTGTCTGGATCCCTGGTTGTCATCTTGATCTTGTGTTGCACAAGGTCTGTTTTGCCTGGTCCGTCTGGTAAGACATCTGAGTACTAGCACAGTAGCACTTGTAGATATTTCTTCTGCTTGCTACTCAGTTCTTCATTTATGTTGACATTCTTTTACATCTCTTGTCCACCCAGCAATCTTAGGCCTAGTAAGTTTTAATCTTCTATGACAAAGTCACCATGTTCTTGTTCTGCAACTGTGACAGCTACACCTGCAATGTCCATCTGTTCCTCAGTAGCTGCACCCATTAAGTCTTCTTCCCTCTCGAAGTACCTCTTCAACAGATTGGGGAGATAGATCTTGGTTTACCCATCCACTTTCACTTTATAGTTCATTCTGTTGATCACTTCCTGCACTTTGAAAAGTCCTTTCCACTACAGGGAGATTGTGTAGGTAGCAGAACCAATACCTTGGCCTTCTTGTCATAGAAGTGTTTCTGATTGCCTGGAGCTGCATACAAGCTCTCTTGACCAAGTTGACAGGGCTCCTCCAGTCAGTTTCTCACTTCTCTTCTTTTGTTCACAGCTCTTTCAATATCTGCATCATACCATGTACTGTTCTTCTATACAGCAACTCGAAGGATGAAAAACCTGTACATTCTTGTGAGACTTCTCAGTAAGCAGATAATACTGTCTACAGGTACCTGTCATAGTCATGTGGTCTCTCCTAGTATGTCTTCTTCAACATACTCTTTAAGACTGTTCACTCTCTCTTACAAAGTCCATTACATCTGGAGTTGTACAGAGTGAAAAAGAGCTGCAGAGTGTTTATGAGTGTGCATATCTCTTGCATCATTTTTAAGGTCAACTGGATCCCTCTGTCACTTAAGACTTCTTTTGGAAAGCCTACTCTGGAGAACACTTCTGCTACTCTTTCTCTCTCTCTATTTTTTGTAGTGCTATGGCTTCTAGTTAATGTGTTACGTAGTTGACTACTGTCAGCACATACCAATTGCCCTTGTCAAATGTAGGTGCTAGTTGTCAGATCAAGTCCACAGCTAATTTGCTGAACAACTCTTCTATGAGACATACCTTGGCTATCTACCCTCTAGGTATTGCCTTTTGGTAGATGTAAAATCTAGCCACATCTCCGATCAACCCTGGCCAAAGAAAGTTGCTGGGGATTCTATATGCCATCTTCTTTGGTCCTAAGTGTCCTCCCACAATTGACTCATGAGCAAGCTTCATCACTTGAGTCTGGTATTCTATTGATACTATGATCTGTTTAACTTCCCCACTATAACCACCTTAATAGATCTAGTATGGCACTCTCTTACAGTCCTCTATTCTGTAAGAGTCCCTTTTTCTTGTGCTCAACTTTCTCCCAGGCATTGTTCCAAAGTTTCTGCAGTGAGGGTCATTCTTTTGTGTTTTCTTAAGTTCCTATAAATCTATATTTTGGATGTCGCCTTTTGAGACTTGCAGGGGCTTGATGTCTTGCTTGCTTGTGTGGTGACTGAAGATGCCTCATCACTCTCCTTTCTGTTTGGTTCCTCCAAACTTCTACTGCCTGGTATATTTCCGATAACCAAGTCAGAGATGGGTGCCTTCATACATATTTTCCTTATTTGTAGTCTTTCCTTTCTCTCATTTTCTTCTTTCAGATTTTCTTCCGCTCTTCTCTGTCTTTCCTCCTCTCTCTTGTGTTGCTGCTGTTCTCTCTCTTGTTTTTGTTTAACAATCTCTTGTAGAATGCTATCTTTTAACCAAAGTCGCTCATCCCCCTCTATCCATTTATCAAAATCAGTTGACATGGTTATATATCGTGAATGTAATCTCTACACTAGTTTTGCCACCACTATAATTCTGCTTACATAGGACTATTTCTGCTGTTCTTCATGTCCTCTTTAACTGCCATTTACCACTGTATAGTCCTGGCTAACTTGCCAAATGTCAGGTTTTTAGAGGGCCAAATTCTTTACAGTAGGTATCTGTAACTTTTTGGCAATAAATTTCAACAATAAATATACAGCATGCAATCCACTTGTTTTAAAACAATATATTCAAAACAAGTCAAATGTATGTACAAAACTTTGTTACACTATTGGTTATCACAGTTGTATTCAGAGCTTTAAATAATTATCTTTTTCATCAAAGTCAACACAGGCGGGTTCAATTACTTTAGAACACCCTTTGACAAGATAAATTATGCTTCTCTACTCTGTTATTACAATACAATCAGTGATAAGTTCCATTATGTTACTCCGTGTGTTACTATGGTTGTGTCCAGAGCTTTAAATAATTCCATTTTACATCAAAAGCCCACACTGGCTGTTTCAGTTACTATACAACCCAATTGACAAGATGAATTATTCATCTCTACTCTGTTATTATAATACAATCTACAATTATAACATTTTAAAAGTCACCACTCTACACTCTTTATGGCTAAACTTGGTGTGAATTCACAATAGTTTAACTACACAATAAATAATTCATAAACAGTTATGTAAGCAAACTTGCCATAACTATCACTTCTAATAGTAACTTACTTTAAAACTTGCACTATGTAAACAATCTAAATCATAATGTTCGCATTAAACTTAAAAATGAAATGAAACAGTCGTATATATTTAACACTCAGCCAGGTTTCTATTCCCATTTGTTTGTTGTCTTGAAGAAGACACCTGGCACCCTATCATCAATCTTTCTTCTTTGAACTGATTCCTTGCCATTCTTGATTCACCATGGAGTCATACCTGTCTCTTTGATGGGTTTTCACTCCTGGTCTGTGGATGACAATGCTAGATGTTTCGCATGATTATCTCCACATTCCCATCTCCCCAGCATCCCGTCATTTTCTTCATTTTGTCCGTCAGAGTTGTGTCTACCAGTTCCAGGCTTTTCTGTCCAGGATAGCTTCGGCTTCTTACATTTTTTGTCGGGTGGTCAAGGCTTTTGCCTGTCTTCTCCATTCCCAGGGGCCTTTGTTTCCATGATCACATTAATGATTGGCTGCTTCTAGCTCCTTCCCATGCTACCTCTTCCTTTCATACTCAGTTTCTTCAAGAAGCTGCATGTGGGTTGGCTAAAGAAGTCTTTTGTCTCCTCCACTAAATACCTTATTTATCTTGGGGTGTTTTACAATTCCTATCTCAGCCAGGTCAAACCTTCTCCCCTTCACCTGTGATCTTTGGAGCTTCTGGTTTAGACTGTTTCCTCCTCTTCATCTCCAACTTCAAGAGGTTCTATCTCTTTTCAAGCCACTCTTCATTAGGAGTCTCTTCATTTAATTAATTGGGTTCCTCCTATGATTCCACTCTTATTTCTACATATCAATGTCATGGACAAAGAAGTGGTGCAGTCTTCCAGAGGTGTGTTTTACATATTCTTTATTCACACACTCCACGAGCTTCCTTCAGGAACTTTCTAAGTCAAAACCTGGAACAATTTTATCATGAAGTATAAAAGAGAGTTTTAAGAAACTCTTTAATTGAAAGATATTCTATTAAGATAGCAAATTCTGTTTTTGTTACAGATTTGTTTACTGCTCATTTATTATTCCTTCTATTATTTAGTGCAACTATGAATTTTTAGTTATATTAAAGTGCTAACTCACCTTCTATCTGTTGAGCTTTGATTTTGAGTATGTATGTATTATGAAACTGATGCAAGCGTCCCCTAGTGGTGACATACAGATGTTAATGTTGTAAAAGATTATGTAGATTTATGGTAATATATAGTCACAAGGTATGTAACCTCATGGTCTAATCCACTAAATATAAAGCCTTTCTTGATCTTGAAAATAAGTAAGTTCACGAGTTGTAATTACAAAGAATTATTGCTAATTATTGTTCAATATTGCTCATGATATTGAGAAGTGGTATATTTTACTAAGTGATAAAATTTGTATTTTGAAAGTTTTGTTTTTATTCATTTTGTTATATTTAATAAGTTGTTTTTGTTTGATCCTGGTTGTAGCAGCATTTTGTTTAGGTTGTTACAAGCTTATTAAATACAATTGAAATAACTAAAATAATTTTTTTTATCTTGCAGGCAAGGATTCTTGGAACTTCTCCAGAGTCAATTGATGGAGCAGAAAATCGTTTTAAGTTTTCACGTATGCTTGACACAATAGGAATATCTCAGCCTCGGTGGCGAGAACTAACGAGCCTTGAGGTACTTGTGATTATTAAAGACATTTCTCCGAGACTGTATATCAGAAAATATCAACTTCAGATTTATAGACATGTTTATTTAAGAATATTCAATGATTTCTATTGTTTATCTCTGGTTCACTGAATTTTGAAAATTTCATTTAGGGCATTTTTATATGAATTTGTTTAGCTTACTTTTCATGTGTCATTTAATTAATTATTTTATTTTGTATATTTCTTATTGCATTACAAATACCTTGTATGAATACTTTTCTTTAGAATTCCAGAATTCGTTTGTATATTGTAATCTGGTTGATTAATTGTATCTTAAGAAAAAAACTACTACTATAATAATAATTTGACTGTTCAGATTTTTTTGAGCTTTTCTAGTAAAATCAAGTTTAACTGATAATGTTTTTTGAAGTACATAAGTTAATACTTTTGTTGAAGAGATACTAAATTATGTTAGTGTATCTTAATAAATTCACACACACACACTACATTTTCTCTATAAAAATATATTAACTGGTAAGTTAACATATTCACCTATTTTGTGTATACTGCATAATTAAGGATTTTATGCTATAAGCGGAACAAAATCATTTTAACCGTCAATTTACTGACTTGTACCATATTATATCATACTGAACAGTTTTATGTTTTTGCCTGTTACAACATTTAATTTAAAGAACGGACAAAAAAATTGGGTGAAATTATTCAATCTCTATGTAAAATACATAGGAAACCCCAGCAACAGATTGTATGATTAATTGCAATATTAATACTATTTTTGTTTGAAATTTTTTGTATTAGAGAGATTATAATCAACAAAATGATGGTCCCACATGCAATTTGTTTGATAAAAAGTTTAAAAAATTCTTCAAAATCAGATGATAATTTTAGGGTTAATTTGAATTATTTATAAATGATACAAGTTATTTTCCTAAAATAACATTGTTTACAAGTAGTTTTTATAAATGCACCTGTGTATTAATTAGTTGTAGGACAACTGCCCCCAAAGGAAAATTGCCCCTGGACAACTGCTCCCCGCAACCAATCTTCTTATATCAGTATAACTGACTAAAATAGGAAAAATAACACATATTTTTTATATTTGGTAGAAGAACGAATTATATAAAACTGTTTAACCCTGTGTTATTTTATCCTACTTACATTATATAACTTTGGATAGTTTAACATTTTAATTTTATTACAATAAACAAAACTTAACATGAAACCTGTGTTATTTTCTCGTACTTAAACAGTCTTAGATAATTCATTCAAGAAAGATACATGAAATATGTGTTGTTGTTTTTTCCCCTAATCTGGTCAGTTATATTAATGTAATAAGATATGGTTGTGGGGTGGGGGGCAATTGTCTTACGGGGCAGTTGTCAGGTTATCATGTTGATTGAAGTTCTACTCTTGTGTTTTAGTCAAATCATAATATTACAAGAAGTTATTTTGAATTCTTTGAATAGAAAGCAATTGAATTTTGTGAAGAAGTTGGTTATCCATGCCTTGTTCGTCCATCATACGTGCTAAGTGGTGCAGCAATGAATGTTGCCCAAACTCCTCGAGACTTAGAAGACTACCTAAGTGAGGCTTCTACTGTCTCAAAGGACCACCCTGTTGTTATTTCTAAGTTTATCACTGAAGCAAAAGTAAGGATTGATATTACTGGTTGTCATTAGAATGTGAGGTTATTACATCACACAATGTATTCCTTTAAAACTGAATGTATAGTTAGGTTAATGAAATACAAAAATACACTTCTTTTTTTGATTAGTTACTAATTGGTGAAATCTGTGACAACAACACATTCATGTAACTACATCATGTGATTTATTCTGTTTGAAACTAAAATTTAAAACTATATAATGTTAACTCTCTCTTCCTATGGGCTCGATCAAATTGGCTGAGTTTGTGACCCGGAATTGACCTTTATAGTTTTAATACTATAACTTCCAATATGTTCTTTATATCATCATGAAGTTTTGGTTACAAGCATTAAGAGTCTTTTGTAAACAAAAAATCAGAAATTTTAATGAAGTATTTTCACTAAATATTTCTCCATGAGTATATGGAGCTAGAGTGTTGACTGCTCTGAGTGAAAAGTGATTTTTTTGTTCAAATATAAATACTTTGTTCATCTGACAATTGTTAATTTTTATTTGTGTAATCTCTAAAACCTCCTTAATAGATTTCAAACATTTGTTTACATAAAACTTTATATTTATCTGTTATTTTCTCTACCCTAACTTTATATGAGGTTGATCAATTTGACCGACCCTGTAATCATCATAAAAAATGCAAAATAAATCTAAATTACACTTTTTTTTTCAAGAATGACTTCAATATGTAACATGAAGCTACATTTGTTTATCTTAAATAGCTTTAAGTTCATAACATTATACATTTGTTTATACTTAAATTTTATTTGATTATTGCCCTTTGAACTGTACCTAACTAACAATCTTGTCAAGTTCTAAGTCTCTTGATGAATGTGTAGCTTACATTACCCTATCGAATTACATAAGACGAGGGCTACTTTCTTTATCTTACCTAATCTAACCCTGTTTAAAGTAATTAATTTTAGTTACTTTTATAATAATAAATAAAGTATACTCATGAAAATAAAGAAATATAATTCTTACTTAGATCTTTTTTTTTTTTGCTGTCAACTGTCAATAAAAATTGACCCTATTTTTTATAATAATGGTACTACAATATTAAATATTATTATTTACGTAAATACTGCATCTAGAATGCAAAATAATAAGCTGTAAAAAGCAGACAACATCAAATAACTGTCATAATTTTTGGGTTATCTAACTATGAGATGAGTTTTTAAAAATTCAGCTAAGCTAATTAATGTGATTCCCATGAAAACAAAGTTGAAACTGAAACAGGATATAGACAATTTTTGGTACAGAAACCAATATGATATAATATGTCATTTGATAGATTAAAACTCTAGCTTTCTATTCATTTTAAATAATTTAGTATTAAGCATCAGAGGGAACTATTGGCAATTTGTGACAGGTAAGTGTGGCAAGTGGGTCTGATTTTCTAGTGTATGGCTCTGTAGACAAACAAGATTGAAGATTATAAAAATTATGCTTTCCCTGAGTAATAACAATATTATGATGAGTAATTTGTGTTAAATGCTGTACTTCTCAGAGGGGTGGTAAATAAATATGTATATATATATATAGAGAGAGAAGAGGGAATGCCTAGAGAGTAAATTTCACAATTCTCATACAAGGGTAAGACAAAGGATTTTTAAAATATATCCTTATAAAATTAAGAACTTAAAACTTATCTATTTGAAATTTAATTTATTAACTATATTTTGATGCCAAGTTCATTTGTATACCATGATAATAAAGTAGTCTAATTAAATTTTAAATGTAACTCTTAAAAAATCATGTCATGGGCCATTTGACCTACCTGTAGCAAGAGGGTTAAAAGGTTAAAATCATCAGATATTTTCTGAATCATTGTTGAGTATTAATGTGTTGTGCATAGATATTATTATTTAAAGCATGTAATAAGTAACTACTTTGAATATTAGTATTGGTGGACCTTAGAATTGTTCTTCAGTTTCCATACTATTTTACATACTTTGATAATAATCGTTGAGGATAGCATACTTTCATGTAAAGTTATGATTTTATGTAGAGATTTAAAACTGAGGATTCAAATCCTTGACTACTTATCAAGGAGATTTTTTAATAAACACAGTTACTGAATCTCAGTTGTATGCAAGTATGAGTTTTAACATAATTGTTTATTAAGGACATAATTTAGTAGAACTCTTGTAATTTGCTTACTCGTTTGTAAAACTTAGAATCTCTTTTTATTGCAGTTTTTTTTTTTTTTATTTGTGCACATTGAGGTGTTTGGCTATAGATATTTTAAGAATAATACACTCTCCCATGGTGATAGGGTGTTTTGAAGAAGAGAAATCTGATAAGCTTGGTACACCGTTCTGTGATGAATAGTTTTCTAAAGAAGAAAACCTTATAAAAGTGGTACACTGTTCTGTGATGATAGTTTTTCTAAAGAAGAAAACCTTATAAAAGTGGTACACTGTTCTGTGATGATAGTTTTTCTAAAGAAGAAAACCTTATAAAAGTGGTACACTGTTCTGTGATGATAGTTTTTCTAAAGAAGAAAACCTTAAAGAAAACCTTATAAAAGTGGTACACTGTTCTATGATGATAGGTTTTCTAAAGAAGAAAACCTTATAAAAGTGATACACTGTTCTGTGATGATAGTTTTTCTAAAGAAGAAAACCTTATAAAAGTGGTACACTGTTCTGTGATGATAGTTTTTCTAAAGAAGAAAACCTTATAAAAGTGATACACTGTTCTGTGATGATAGTTTTTCTAAAAAAGAAAACCTTATAAAAGTGGTACACTGTTCTGTTATGATTTTAAAGAAATGTTCGAAACAGAGCCACATCCCATTCTCAGCACCAGCACCTTGTGTCTCTTTGCTTATTTGGTTTTTTTACTGTGTATATGCAAACATAGAACACTCTTTGTGGGTATTGTATCTTTTTAGGTGAGTCCTCTGAACTCCATGATTTGTTGTACTACTGATAGTATAAAGTTTTACAGAGTGAATTTTTTTGCCAGTTTTGTAGGCATTTAGTAAACTGATGTCCAATATAAGAAAGAAAATTGTCTGTACCATTTCATGCATTTTCTTACACACTAAACAGACCCAATCATTATGTCAGCTTTGTCAATAAGATGCACTGGTTTCATTATCTTCTTTCCACTTTTCCTGTCCTTTTTTCCGCTGTCATCCATTCGTTTTTTGTGCAAGGTTGACAGAGGCAAACATCTCACTTGTCAAGCCACTTTATTACCAGTATTTTGCATTAATGAAGTAACATTCACCTGACTTTATTTTAGAAGGAAATATTGCCATGTGTTTTCTATTGTGCCTCATTGTCCTACATGAACCAGTTTTATTTGGTAACAGATATTTGCACAGATCTGGGCTAGTATACCAGTTATAGCTATACAGCATATGACTGGACAACATATTTTTCCATCAATTTTATCAGCATCGTGCTAGATAAACCTAGTGAACAGTTCTTTAATATTTCTGATGATTTTCCTGTATACACTATCATATCCAAGATGTATCCAGTTTTATATAACAATGTTTTTTGAACGGAACGTACTAACAAAATCCTAAATGACCTTTGAAGAAGATGAAAGATTTTTCAGTTATTAATTTCTGAAATGGCTTGAACATTGCTTGATATTTGTCTTTAAGTTTAAAATATGAAAGAATATACTTTCTCTTGAATAGTTTTGTCCTCCTCGTCTTGACTTTCTTTGTCTGTGAAATGAAGGAATTGCAAAAGCAACTGAAAGTGGTCTCCGCTCACTTATGGCCAAATATTTTTGTGTGGAGTAGCAGATCTAATGACCAGTAATCTTTGAGACTATGTTTTGTTATGTGTGGCATAAGCATTACAAGCGAAAAATGCAACATGTAGTACAATGACATCTGTATTTCTCCATTACAAATTCTTGAACCAGTGGACATCTCAATTTTTTCAGCACAATACTGATAATATATTTATTTTATTCACACTGTGGTTCATCAAGTTTCATCAAAAATTGCCTCAAAATGTTTTAGCTTAATTGACTCTTCACTTGTTCCACAGTTCTGTTATATTCCAAAACTATAAGCCTCAAAATCAGGTATTTCTTGGATAAATCTATCAGCTGACCATACCCACACCGGGCCTCCATGTGGTGCATAGTGGGGGAGAGGAGAGGCCATGAGATAGTGCCTTCAGGAGCACTGTAATCACTTTCTTCACTAAGACTTTGTGAGAATGATTCTGATATCTGAAAGTGCTCATCACTTCCTTGACAAGATCCTGAATGCTCATCCCCATCGGTTGTGTCACACACATATATACCACAAATCTTTGCTTATGTCATCATTCATGAGCCAATTTAATCCACTGGGACCTTCTAATATGCTAGGCTCTTCCTCCATTGTGTTTAAGGGGTAACTAAGCTGTCTTTGTGTTTATGGGGGAATTATTGTAGGTGACTACATATGTAAACTGGTTAACATGGCAGAGCACCAATATGAATATACCCATATGTTACACAGTGATAACATTCTTACTGTATCTCATGTGGTGACAGCACTGAAAGGGTCAAAACCTTTTTAAGTTGTTCTGGCCTTTATGGAAAGTATTCACATTTTAAAACTGATTAAAAACCTTTTTAAGTTGCTCTTGACTTTATGGAAAGTATTCACATTTTAAAACTGATTAAAACCTTTTTAAGTTGCTCTTGACTTTATGGAAAGTATTCACATTTTGAAACTGATTAAAAACCTTTTTAAGTTGCTCTTGACTTTATGGGAGTATTCACATTTAAAACTGATTAAAACCTTTTTAAGTTGCTCTTGACTTTATGGAAAGTATTCACATTTAAAACTGATTAAAACCTTTTTAAGTTGCTCTTGACTTTATGGAAAGTATTCACATTTTGAAACTGATTAAAAACCTTTTTAAGTTGCTCTTGACTTTATGGGGAGTATTCACATTTTAAAACTGATATAAGTTTTATTTAAGTTGCTCTTGACAAAGTATTCACATTTTAAAACTGATATAAGTTTTATTTGTGTTGCTCTTGACTTTATGGAAAGTATTCACATTTTAAAACTGATATAAGTTTTAATTAAGTTGCTCTTGACTTTATGGAAAGTATTCACATTTTAAAACTGATTAAAAACCTTTTTAAGTTGCTCTTGACTTTATGGGAGTATTCACATTTTAAAACTGATTAAAAACCTTTTTAAGTTGCTCTTGACTTTATGGGGAGTATTCACATTTTGAAACTGATTAAAAACCTTTTTAAGTTGCTCTTGACTTTATGAAGAGTATTAACATTTTGAAACTGATCTTAAACCTTTTTAACTCACTCAACATAGGCTCAGTCAGTTTGCAACATCTCTGTACTTGTTTAAAGTCTTTATAGATTTAATACTTCTAACTTTCAATATTGTGTGTATATCTTCACAAAATTGTTAAGATTAAAAATACTTTTCTTCATCCAAAAGATCTGAAATTTCATTTGTATAATCTCTAAAACCTCCTAAATACATTTAAAATGTTTATTTTAAGTAAAACTTTATATGTTATCTGTTATTTTCACTATCCTAACTGTATACAAGGTTGGTCCAATTGACTGACCTCATAACCCCCCCCCCCCCACCCCATAAAAAAATATTTTAATTTACCCTCCAATCTTTCTAGAATTACTTGAAATATACCATGAAACTATATTTGTTTTTCCTAAGTAGCTTTAAACTCGTAACAGTTTACATTTATTTATAATTAATTTTTTTGTTTTATAGCCTATTGAACTGTGCCTAACTACTATCTGTGCCATTATAAGTTGTAAATCACTTTGGAAACGTGCAGCCCACGTTATGCTATTGAGTTACATTACCCATGAGCTACAATGAGCTGCTTGTGTGCGTGCCATGTGAAACATTTTTATTATTATTATTATTATCTATTTTACCTAATCCAATTTTAACTAACCTAAAAAGACCCCTATTTTTAGATTTTAGTTACTTTTATAATAATAAAGAATATATATGAAATACAAGAAATAAAGTACTTATGCATTCTTCTTTTTTCTTGCTGTCGGGTTTTCAAAGAAAGTTAACCCTAATTTTTTATACTAATGGTAGTAATGCATTAAATAATTTTTATTTAATTGAATAATGCACCAAAGAAATAGACTAATAACATGCAAAAAGTAGACAATTTTCCCTAACTCTCAAAATGTTTTCTGGCTTTCTAACTATAAGACAAGAACCATTACAAATTCATCCAAGCTAGTCATTAGCTTTCCCACAGGAATGAAGCTTGTACTCTGAGTGAAATTGACGATTATCTGTTCAGAACACGATGTTATACAATAAGTCATTTGATAAATGAAAACCTTCACTTTCTATTGGTTATAGGTAATATATAATTAAACTTAAGCGAGAACTACTAACAAATCTTGAAAGAGAGGATGTGACTGGTGGGTTTGGCAAGAGGAGTCTGATTTTCTATTTGATAGCTCTATAACCAAACAAAATTGAAGGCTATAAAAATTATGGTTTGCCTTAGCAATTACAACTTTATAATGAGTAATTTACGTTAAATATGTAATTCTTGGATGGGTAGTAAATAACTAAGAGAAGAAGGGATGCCTAGAGAGAAAATGTTACAATTCTCATACTAGTATGAGTAATTTACGTTTAATTTTGTACTTTTTGGAGGGGTGGTGGATATAATGGAGGAAAGAAGATGCCTAGAGAAAATGTTTCACGTGTGTCACACTAGGGAAATTCAGGATTTTATAAATATTGCCTTGTAGAATTAAGAACTTAAAACTTATATTCTATTAAAATATGGATTATTAGCTAAGATTTTATGATGTACTAATTGGTATAACATAAATAAACAAAAAGTAGTTTGATAAAATTTTGAATGTTAGACACTAAAACTGTGTCATGGATACTTGTGACGATAGGGTTAAGTTGCTCTTGGCTCTATGGATGTATTGAAATTTTTAAACATTTTTTTAACTTGCCCTCGACTTTAGGGTGATGTATTCACATTTTGAAACTGATTCAAAACCCGTTTAAGTCACCCTTGACTATATGGGGAGCATTTACATTTTGAAATGTATATTGTACCATTTGCTTGTTTGAGTTTGACTTGAACAAAGATTACAGTTGTTATATAGTTTATTTATTACAGTTGTAATGACATACTTAAAGATACAAAACGTTGTGATCGTAGATAATAGCAAAACGTTTTGTTGAAGACAGTAATTCTGAATATTGTTGTTGAAACAGGAAATTGATGTGGATGCAGTTGCTCAAGATGGAGAGCTTGTGTGTATGGCTGTATCAGAACATGTGGAAAATGCTGGAGTTCACTCTGGTGATGCTACATTAGTGACCCCACCTCAAGATTTGAACCGACAGACTCTTTCTAAAATAAGAGCAATCTGCCAAGCTATTGGATGTGCTTTGGAAGTCAATGGACCTTATAACCTGCAGCTCATTGCTAAGGTTTTTATGCTCATATCCTGTCTTACATTTAATAAACCAATTCAAGACATTAAGTGTAATATACCAGTTTATGTCAATAAGTGTAATAAATCAGTTCAAGACAATAAGTTTGATAAACCAGTTCAAGACACACTTGTATACACACTGTATACTGTTATAAAACTATGCATGAATGTGGAGTCTCGCTATACTGTGATAAAACTTAATATGAATGTATATTTAGTCTTACTTTACTGTGATAAAACTTAACACAAACGTGTATTTAGTCTCATTTTATGGTGATATAACTTAACACAAATGTGTATTTGGTCTCATTTTATGGTGATATAACTTAACACAAATGTGTATTTGGTCTCACTTTACTGTGATAAAACGTAACACAAACGTGTATTTAGTCTCACTTTACTGTGATATAACTTTTAACACAAACGTGTATTTGGTCTCACTTTATGGTTATATAACTACACAAATGTGTATTTGGTTTCACTTTACTTTGATAAAACTTAACACAAATGTGTATTTGCTCTCACTTTACTGTGATAAAACTTAACACAAATGTGTAGTGAGTCACAGTTTTCATTGTTGAAACTTAACATGAATGTGTAGTGACTCTCACTATACTGTGATAAAACTTAAAAGGAGTGTGTAATGAGTCTCGCTGTACTGTTTCAATTTATGTTTCCAGTATTTCTTTGTATGAACAGTAAGATACTATATTGTGGATAGTACTAAATAAAGCATTGAGGCCAGTTCTATGCACTTGTGGGTGGAATGAAAAGGTAATTGTTACAAATTTAAAATTGTAAAATTAAGGTAATAAAAATATTAACATGTAATGTTAGATACAAACAGGTTTTTATGCATTTCATAATTGATAATTTTGAGTGTGTTTTTGTACTATCTCTGAAGAACTTCTAATTTAAATTTTGTGTCATGTGATAAATTCTTGTATTTCCTTTCAAAAATTTGAAGCTATAATTTTCTTTACAGGATAATCAACTGAAAGTAATTGAATGTAATCTCAGAGTTTCTCGTTCCTTTCCCTTTGTCTCCAAAACACTGAACTGTGATTTTATAGCTCTTGCTACTCAGGTAGTGATGGGGGAGCATCCTGAGCCTGTAGATCTTACATTTGGAAGTGGTCGAGTTGGTGTCAAGGTACAGTTTTACCCAGATTACTTCATAGTAGTTTTGATAAGCTCATCCAAAGAAAACTAGTAAAATAATTAAACTCCTTTCTGTGTTTAAGGGCAGTGACCTTAACATGAAAGTACATCTTTTGTAAAAAAACTTCATGCTATGTTAGAAAAACTTAAAAGCTTTCTTTGCTATGTGCTAAATTTTTTTTATAGATATTTCTTTACTCGTACCATAGTGTTTGATGCTACTTTCAACTTTTGCTCCATGTAGGTTCCTTTGTTTTCTTTTTCTCGATTGGCTGGTGCTGATGTGAAACTTGGAGTCGAAATGGCCAGTACTGGAGAGGTTGCATGTTTTGGAGAAAACTGCTATGAGGCTTACCTAAAGGCTTTAATTAGTACAGGGTTTAATATACCAAAGAAATCCATTTTCTTATCCATTGGAAGCTACAAAGTAATTATATTTGTATGCAATCTGAATTGGCTTATGAACTCTGTGGAAATTAAGATTTCGGTGTTATGCTAAAATATATTCTTGAAGTAATAAATATGATATTTTGTTCAGATAAAAAAAATACTTCCAGTAATTTGTGTTGGGTTAGACAATAAACCTTTAATTATGTTATTTGACAATGTTTTTATTTAATCGTATGTTGTTTTTTTGCCATTGGTTAGTTTCTGTGATTTTCTTCATGCTTTTTAATTTAAATTCAGTCAATTGTCTACAGAACCTTAAACGCAGAATCACAAAAATAAATTGTGTTCAATCACACATATTCCATAAACATTTGTATAAGTGTAAAAGTCACAAAAACAAACACAAAATTTGCCCATTAACAATTTTTCCTTAATTATGATAGTCGTATTTTTCTTCATAAGTGAATGTAATGTTTGTTCCTAAATACAAATTTTTATTTTTCAGCATAAATCTGAACTTCTGCCTAGTGTACGAACCCTAGAGAAGATGGGTTTGAAACTGTATGGTTCAATAGGGACAGCAGACTTTTATGCTGAGCATGACATAAAGGTAGGTAGTAGAGTAACAGATTACTGATATTTTTAAATATCAGCTCCAGGCATGTTTAGAACTTGAATGATTTAATGCATATCAAAGAGTTTTTATAATTCAACACTTTAGCACTGATTTAACCCATTGACTGCCATGGTCCTCATATGAGTTACGAATGTGACAGTCCTCACATGAGGTTCAAAATTCCGTGGCCTATAATCTAAATCCATGCCAAATTTTTCAGCCATACAGAGTCCCATACATCACATCGTGCTTCCTTCTGTCCACCCACGCTGTCCGCAGCGCTCAGTTGCATCGTGGAGGGTGCATATGTCTCTTCTTCTGACAGTGAGCCTGTGCTGTCAACTTCTTTTGCAGTGCTGGTGGTGCAAGGAAGAAAATTATTGCAAAGAAAAGAGAGCCTGTGAAGAACAGTTTTAAAACAGTAGGGAGGAAGATATTGATGATCCAGTGCCTCTGTGTGGTCACGATGCCAAACACCCACCACCACTACCTATGCATCCAAACAAACTAAAGGCTGGAAAAACTTTGATGCCTTCCAAGTGGATGCCCATGATTTTCAACTCTGATAGAGATGTATCGTCCCAGGAGTCAGAAAACAAGGATTAGGACTCGGATAGTGAGGGAGAATGTTGGGTTCAGAATGTCGAAGTAAGTGGTGACAAGTCATTAGGGGAAGAGGGTGGAGAGGAGGAGACACTTGCCTCTTTTCTTCCAGATGAGGCTACCTGCAACCCTTTTGTGGACTGATGGTTACAATTTTCAGCCAGATATTCATGATTTTGACAGGCAGCATTCAGGTGTGACTGAGGACCAGCCTCATGGTGATGATGCAAAAAAACTTGACTATTTTTAGGCCTTCTTTGACTAGGAAGTGATGTCATTTATTGTTACACAGACCAACGAGTATTACAGGTACATAGTAGATAACTTTATATTCACGCCTAAGTACCACATTCATAGATTGGTAGACACATGTGTGAAGGAATTGTATGTATTTTTGGCCTACTTTTATTGATGCTCCTTATAAAGAAACATAGGCTTCGGGATTATTGGAAAATTGACAGCTGTATAGACATTTATATAACAAGATAAGCAAACATAGTATGACATATTCAGTAAATAATGTGATAAAGTGTTCAGTGTAAGTGATGGGGATGAAGGTGATAGGTGCTAGTTACTTCTACAATATATGATAATTGAACTTCTGTTAACCCTATCGCCATGGGTCAAGGGCCGTGTAATCGTGTTTGTTGACTTGCATTCAAAATTAAATTGAACTACTATTTTATGAATTTATGTCAATAAGTTTGATACCAAACTGTAGATTATAATTCAAATTTTAGTATTATACATTATGTGATTTGTTAATTTAAAAGTAAATATTAAAAAAAAACTTAAACATTGATATTTGTGTGTCACATGGTATGTTGAATGCAGCACTGGTTCAAATTAGATGTTTGTGATGTTAAAATACAAAGTCTATAGTTTCATATGAATTAGGAACTCAAATTACCAATATTTACAAGCTAGAATATAAAATAAGAACATCCTATCTTTTCTCTTTGCTGAGATATAGCTCATATACTGAATCAAATATAGTGGCCCTGCTCACTTCTTTCCATTTTTGGAAATGGTCCCTTACATGCACTTACTTCTGTATATGACATGTGAATAACCAATCAAAAGCTCAGAATATTTTCCTTGTGGCTTTCTTAACCATTTTCAAGTATTATGATGTCATTATGTTCTTTCGATACTAATCTTCATGCTGGTAAGATGAGTCTTTAGTGAGCTTGAAATTTCATATTTTTTTAGACCCAAATACAACTTAGTTACTAAACTTGATAAATTATAGTGGAATTCTATGGTATCGATATACTAGTTTATGATTTTTGTTTATTGAAATGTATATATGAAACCTAAAAAAAATTATTTTGTTTCATATCCTCCATGTGGAAATTTTAAAAGGCTTAGAAACCTATGTCAAGCAGCAAACGAGTACAAAGTTCATAACTAGAAGGGAAAATTGTTTGCTATACTTCTTTATCTATTGTTCTATGTTTTAAGAAAAATAAGTTTAAGAACTTATTTGAAATAGTAATAATGTATATACATATATAATGTATGATAACTGAAATGTGACTGTATTTTACAAAATACTAGTCGACTAAAACACAGCCAAGACAGGTCACTTTGTAAAGACTAAAGCCAATAAAATCAGTTTTATATTACTGGATACGGTAACATGAGTGCACATGTGCCACATCATTGTAACTTCTGTATTGTTAGCCAGGCATGGGTGAAAGGTCAATATAATGAAAATAATAAATATATATAAATGTATAATGTTATGAGATTTAAGTTATTTAGTCTAATTATTCATGTTTTCATGTTATATCTTGTGTTCATTCTAGAATGAAAGAAGCATAATCAATGTTTATTTCCTAATTTTATATGGTCGTTGCAATTAATTATTTAAAAAAAATATTAGTCCACTAAAATCAGCCAAGACGGGTTACTTTGTAAAGACTAAAGGTCAGTTTTATATTTTTGTATACGGTAACATGAGTGCATGTGTATCGCATCATTGCAACTTCTGTATTGTTAGCCAGGCAAGGTTGAAAGGTTGATATAATAAAAATAATAAATATATATAAATGTATGATGTTAAAAGCAGACAGATAATAGTAAAAAAGAGTAAAGTTACAGTCCAAGGAAAAGTTTGATGTGAAGTTAACTACTGTAGAAGTGATTGCCCTGACAATTGACATAGGCCTAATGTTTAATATGTTGAAGTAAGACTACAGTAGAAATGGAGATAAGATAAATAATTTATTCCATCAAAGCGTGGTTCTAAAGTAATTGAATCAGCCTGAGTGCACTTAGTCAAAAGGAACAGAGGATATTTAAGAGAAAGAAGACAAAACGATTAAAATAACTCGTGCCACAATTGTAAGTGAATCACACACAGAATACTAGTGCGATAGTAATAGAGAAGATAGTTCGGCTTGTCAACTGAAATTCTAAAATAATTGAGTAGGCCTAAGTGGACTTTTGACAAAAAGAAGAGAACTATATATAAGTAGTGTTTATTATATGCCTGTAATCTCTATAGTGTAAAGACTTTGTTGTACATAGGTTTAACTTGTTCCGAATATATTTTGAAAACAAGTGAAGTGAGTGCTATTTATTTATTGTTGAATTTTATCACAAACAAGTCACAGACACCTACTGTAGAAGAATCCTAAGCCCAACACAGTATATATTCATACTATTAAGAAGTATAAGTAAAAACCTTTTAATTTGATAATTGGTGAAAAAGAATTATATATTTTAAATTCTGACAGGGCCACTCCCTCTCTAAGTCCTTGAACAGTGTGCAGAGTCCAGAGGATTTGAAGTAGATTAATATTACTCCTCTTTTTAAGGATGTTTATATCATTTCTTATTGTAATTATAGAATTATTAATCTTACTTCTGTGGTGAGAGAAGTTTTTGAAAGTTTGATAAAAGATAATTTAAAAATAAAGCATGAACTCTTCTTGCTAAACAAGGCCTATAGCCTTATCTCTTCCTATCTGGCTCTTCACAAGGAAATGTCTTTCATACAAAGCAGTCTTTCTTGAAATGGCTACCCAGTGCATTTGTTGGAGAAAATAACTTACTCATTCTTTACTAGTATATTTGTCAAGTCACCTAGGATACCTACTCTACCCAAATTACCTTTATACACCTGCTTACCATATCTCGGAGAACAGAGCTCTCTTATCACAAAACAGTTGAAAAAAATATGTAACTCTTACTATCCTCAAATTGACCTAAAAGTTATTTTTAAATGTAATTTAAGACTAAAAAATTGTTTTTCTGCTACAAAGATCATATATCGACTGCCCATTGTTCACATCTCGTTTACTTATACACGTGTGGAGACTGTAAGGCGTCTTATATTGGTGAAAACAAATGTCACCTTAAAGTACGAGTATTTGAACATGTGTGAATATCTATAAAAACTGGAAGAAAAGTTACAAACCCTCCAGACTCTGCTATCTACCAACACAATACAGAAACAGGGCATCTACTTTCTCTTTCCAATTTTAAAATTCTCTCAACATGATACTGAACTTCTAGTAATAGAGATGTTATACATAAGAACTCTTCTTTCATCTCTAAAATATAAATTTTTCCTTTGAGTTAAATCTATTTTAATTCTACTATTTCATTTGTGCTACATAATTTCCATTTTTTCTTGTTCTAGTTTTTATATTTTAATTGTTTATTTATTATGTATTACAAATTATATCATATTTCTGTTGTAATTACTGTTGTGTTTGTTTTTGTACATTTAGATTACTAAAGGTGGAATTTTGAAGATTCTGAAACATTTAATAAATGCTTCATATTATTATGTTTGTGTTTTGCTTTATTATTGATAAAATATGCTTTGCAAAGTTATTTAACAAAGTTAAAAATTTTGTTGAACAGTTAACAATTTCAATAGGGTAAAATCTTGCCTTACAAATCTTTTTACAATCTTTGAAGAGGTTACTACATATGTAGATGAGGGTATGAGTGTGAGTTTGTTGTATCTGGATTTTCAAAAAGCATTCACCAAGGTGCCACAAGGCTTGTTAAAGAAAGCTATATCTAGAGGTGTATGGGGATAAGTTGGCTCATGGTATATTAAAGTGGCTGGATGGAAGAAAGCAGAGGGTTGTTCAGTTAAACTGGATTGATGTCCCAATTGGGATACCCTCAGGGCTCAGTCTTAGGACCTTTAACTCTTTTTGATTTACATCAATGACATAGATGAAGGAATGCTCAATAAATTGTTTTAATTTGCTGATGATGTTAAGGTCATGAGGTTATGAGTGTTGCTAACTGTGAGGAAGATGTTACTGTCTTACAAAAAGAATTTGGTGAGTAAATTACAGATGGCTTTTAATTATAATAAATGCAAAGTAGTCGATGTTGATTATCATAATTTGGATTATATG